GATATGACGTCCAGTTCCCTATGCCCATCATCAATGGAGGGAAAAAAAAAAACTCAAAAAAAAAAAAAAAAAAAAAAAAAAAAAAAAGGAAAACAGAAAGAAACGATGGAAAAAAAACAAAACAAAACAAAAAAAAGAAACGATGGAAACAGCTCGGTTCATCAAACTCGAACAGCCCGCGCGCTCGGTCCCACATGCGGATTTTTCATTTTCGTTCTAGAAGGCTACCACGAAGAGAGTTGCGGCCGTGTAGTGACCATCGATTTTGTCATTCTTTTTTTTTTTTTTTTTTTGGGAATTTTGTCATTCTATGGTCCTTAGGCGTCCATCATTTTGTTCGTGGTAGCCTCCTACAACGGAAATGCGCAGGTGGAAAGAAAATTAAATTAAATATAAAAAAAAAAAATGGGCAGGTGGAACCCAGCCCCGGCCTTGGGGCCTCGCCACACGACTCTCGATATGTGAAAAAGACAAAAATGTGGCTTCATGTGGGGTTTGGGGGGGGTAGGGGGAGGTGAAGTGACTGGCCATTGCTCGGCGCTGGCACCCCCGATTTCCCCCATAGGCAATGCCTGCGCACCCCTCGTCACCGTGATGAGGGACTGGTACAGCCTTGCTCTCGCACCACTGCTGTGGTGCCAACCTACCCGGTGGGCTGGGGAGAGATCCGGGTTGGTTGGTGTTCCCCCCTACCACGTATACACTAGTGAGAGGATGAGATAGATGAGTACTAGCAAAGAAAAATGAGATAGATGAGAGAAGAATATAGCTTAAAAAGAAAAAAGAAAAAAAAAAGTGGCGTGTGCATCTGGCCATCTTCTAGCGGGAAGTTCATTCTCATTTCGCATTTTGCGCATTTCCAGAGTGGTATGGCTATGCCCTGGGATAGGACGCTCAGCGCTGATTGCCGGAAAGGGGGCAAGGTCCCACTTGCGCAAATTAGGAGGGGGCAAGGTCCCACTTGTGCAAATTAGGAGATTTTGGCCGTTGATCTTTTTTATATCTAAGGTCAGTATCTCTTGATTCGTGCAAGTGGGACCTAGCCCCGGGGAGTAGAGAGTCCCCTTGGGCGAGTTAGAGCATACTCAAACTAGCACCTTTTAAATGTATCTGAACGCAATTACGGCCACACTGGATGCACCTGACGGCAATCACAGCCAGAGCATAGTAGAAAGGGTCTTAGGGGCTCGTTAGAGACTCCTCGGGCGCATAAATCCCCCGAGGAAATTATTATATATATATATCGTCATATATATATATATCGTCAAATAGAACTGCCCGGTATATATATATATACAGGGTCACCAGCCCGTACGTACGGGCGTTTGGGGTCCCGTACGGGGTCCGAACCCGACGGCGTTCGGCCACCGCAAAAAACTATTTCGGGGCCTAAATTTTATTTTTTTTTCTGAATTTGTTTTTGTGAGTTATCCATGACGTGAGGTACATGCCTCTAAATTTGCAAGTCATTTGGCTAAGCCAAATAAGAATTAAAAATCGCCAAAGATGGCGGTGTCAAAACGTGCTCGCCCATGTATTTTTTCACTTTTTACTTTTTGTTATCACTTTTGTTCGGGGTCTAAACAATTTTATTATTTTTTGAAACTCTTTTAGTGGGTTTTGTATTATGTGAAGTACACATCTGTAAATTTTCAGGGCATTTAGCTATGCCAAAAAAAAACAAAAAATCGCCAAAGATGGCGGTGTTGAAAACATGCTCACGCATTCACTAAATTTTATTCTTTTTTTATTTTTATTATTAGTATTTGTTTTCCGTATTTTATTTTTATTTCAGATTTGGTAAGGAATTCAGATGTAATGCTCAGGCAAATCTTGTTTAGATTATTTTTCTCCATAACATATCGTTTTTTCAGATTTTGTTGATGAATTGTTTTTTTTTTTTTTTTTTTTTTTTTTTTTTTTGGGTCCCCATTCGGCCCGAACGGCCGAACGCATCCCCAAGGGGTCCCATACGTTCGGGCGTTCGGGTTCGGGCGTTTGGCCCGTCCCGAACGCCGGTTACCCTGTCTCTCTCTCTATATATATATATATTTTCGTTCCACCTATCCTCGGGGATTAAAATGAAAAAAGATGTGAAAACATTTCCTTCGGGATTCCTTGGGGCGTCCTCGGGCTACAACCATTTGGTGGCATTCCCTAAGGGACCTCCCGAGGTCCCTTGGAGATCAAGGACCGACGATAATCGGAGTGGCGAGGGCACCCATCGTTGGCCAGAAAAAATTGTCGGCTGGTCCATTGGAGTTCCTACCGGGCAGCGCACAGACGTCTTGGGTCTTCAACGTTCGGCTTCCAGGAACCTTACGTCAACGGTAACCGTTGGTGGCCGGCCGTCCCCGCGGACGTCGTCGACCAGTGTTCTCCCTCGCAGTGCATGCCGCCAAATGGAAAGGGGTCGAACGGTTGGCAAATTTGAATACTACAGCCGAACCCCCTTGCTTCAATTGCCCACTGTATTCCGTGACGAAAAACGTTACAAGGTGTTTGTCCTATGCTGTGGTCTACCGTTTGCAGCCTTCTTCGTCGCCATTTGCTGGAGGTGTACCCTCGTCATCTAGGTATTGCCCTTCCCCACCTGCCTTTCATGGTCGACGTCTTTCGAAGGTTGCTGCTGCTGCTCCTGGTAATCCTTTTGCTTGTCTTTGTCGTCTTCTTCCACGTTTGCATCCTCGACAGGGTGCCTGGACGTACATGCAAGAGGCGGTATGAGAAGAAGGACGTCGGCATGGACGGGCGGCAGGCGAAGAGCAGGTCTTAAGTGGACCACTCTAGAAGCCACCACACAGGCCATGGCCCGGCTCTCTATGCAAGGGGGTACGACCCATTAGAGTGTGTGTGTTGTATGCTGTCCGTCTGTTCCCTTCATCGTCGCGGTTCGGTGGAACTTCACTGTCGTCGTAGAATTACAGCCTTGTTGTATGTGTTGTTGATGGTCGACCTCTATTAAAGGTTGGCACTGCTGCTCCTAGTCACAATTTTGGTTGTTGTGGTCCTCTTGTTCCATGTGTGCTTCCTGTATCGTTGATGGCCGATCTCTATCGAGGGCCTCCAACAGAGAAAATGAGGGATCGACACCGACTGCAGTCGACATCGACATCGGCAGCACATCCCGTGGACGTTTGTCCACACTAGATGCGATCGCCATCACTGGAAAGACACGTGGCGACATACGCAGCTTCTCCTAAAAGTACTCCTCTGTCGCATCATCGCATTCCCTGAGATCCTCCCATGGCCCCTCTGTCCTCCTTTTCATCCACCACCTTGGCTTCGCTCGTGGAAGAACACTGCAACCTATGACACAACAAACCAGAACTGCAGCCTCTGTGATGGCCACAAGATCCAGCCCTTCGACCGGGACTTGATGAAGCGTCGTGCTCCTCTGCTCGCAGATCCACGCTCTCATTCTGCCCAATGCCCTCTCCTGCTGACAACGAAAGAGCGCGACCGTCACGACCGCCGCCACGAACGTCTTCGGGATCGTCGTCAACTTCACACGTTCGCCGTTATTGCCGCCCTCCATCGGCATGTGTGCTGCAATGCTCATGAACCACGAAAATACAACAGCCTACCAACTCGGCACGACTACGATAACGTCAGCGCCAAGACCCAGACGACGTTCCCCGCATGTGCTCGACTCAACGCATAGGCGTGGCGGCATGCAGAGACGATGGCGATAGACCTTCGCAGGGCACTCATAAATTCGTGACGATGTACGAGGACTCCACTATGCCACTGAAAATGCCTGTTTCCACCGTCAAAGATATGAATGCCACCTGCTCCGCGCCGCCGTCGTGATGTCTAGCACCCAATTTGAAATTTGATTTTTGAACGGGAGGTCCTTTGCTTTTTTTTTTAAGGGTTTTTTTTTCCGGTCGTCAGCGCCTTTCAAA